ATGTAAATAGCATTTACTATTTTTCAGTAACATTATGTAGAAAATCTCGGATATGGTACAACAGTTTTGAGGAATGGCACTTATAAGTATGCTCACTTTCTGTGTGTGTGTGTATATATATATATATGCATGCATGTTTAATAAAAAAGTGATTTTTGAGATTAATATAACATCTGTCTTGATTTTCACTTCTAGTGCTACCTTTAAATTTCTAATAACAAACATTGCTTCAAGAAGTTAAATTACAAAAATTAATTTGGCTCTACATCAAGTAACTTAACTACAGAAGTTTTGAGGGAGGCACTCGATCCTGTGAAAACTGTAATTGGGCGAAACTCGAATCCACAAATCTGCAAACTGAGCAGATGTTGTTTTTTTTTAACAATAAAGCTACCAGTGAAGTAAAAACTGAGGCATATATAGCACTCAAGACACAGTAGTTTAATTACCTAAAGCATCCACCAGATCTACAGTTCAAGACCTGCTCAGTTTCAAGATTTCATATCTTGGAAGCACACAAATTAAGAAATGTCATGTTCGAAAAACACATTCAGAAAATGCAATACTGAATCATACACTGGAAGTGAATTAATAAAATAATTACTTATAACAATCATATCACTTAATGCCACAAAGTTCCAGTAATTGTTTCTTCTTAACAGTGTTCTTATTAAAGGTATGGGTGTAAAATTAACAAGTAACTGAACACACAGAGAACATTACCCTAATCACCCACATCTAACAATTGGTTAATACCAAAAGAATGTGTGTGAACAATAACTTTGTCAGTATTGCACCCATGCTTTAAAAATTAATTTTTACCATACCTGCTTATTGTTTGAACACAATTACATAAATCATCCTTTGGCCATTTTTTTTGTAACCTATGAAACAAGCAACAGGTTTGAGGAGTGTAGGAAATGAAGCCTCGGTTACATACATACAAACTCCTAGTGAGATAATGCACTCAATAATGAAATGGCAGGAAGTTTTAAACATAACTTGTCAGATATTGAACAAAAAGTATATTTATCACAATAACCAACTTCCACAAATAAAAAAAAAAAATTATCCTAAATATACTGGCTCTCATGTTGTTATGTATAGTGATGCTATGGCTAGCAGTATAGTCATTCAAATTTACAAAATCTTGTCAATGAGGGAACATAACAGCAGCTTACCAAAAATTTAACATGTTAATTGTTAGGAATAATCACCCAGAGTTTCATTTTAGTGATAACAGGATTATTGTATGCAGTGTATTAAGAACTAGAATTAATTTTATCTTGATAAATTGTTGTTCGACATGCATTAAATAAATGTGATGCAGTCCCAATCCCAAGTACATTCAAATTAATTGTTAAAACCAAAAATAAGATTATGCTATGGCTAAAAAAAGATGCTTCTAACCTTTTCCATGAAGCCTTGATTAAATTATCAGCAAACAGCTACTGATCTTTTACTCACAATTTAGGTAAAAAAATATTTTTTATTAAAATAGTTTTCTCTAAGTGACTTTTTTCCAAAGTCTTAAGAATACTTTTTTCATTTAAGTTCTCCATAATTACACAGAAGATATTAAGTTTTAATATAAGTTCACTATTTTTTAATGAGTAACTTGATGGCAATATAAGAATGATGATTAGTAATTATTAATCAGCCATAATATTAAGACAGAAATGGGTGGGAACAAGTATTGTTTAATATAAGTTGCTAAGCCTAACTTATCAATATTTCTATTTTACATTTCTCTAGTAATTACTTTATCCATTTTCCTGTGATTATATAATATAACGGTAAGGCTTAGTTACACACGTCACTACTTTCTTTGAACAAAACTGGAGAGTTTCTTGGTTTAGAAGACCAAAGGCCTTGTACACCACACTGTGGGAGAAATCTTAACTCCAAATATTTTGAAACACATGATTTTTAACATAATGAAGCACGTAAGCACGAATAAGAAATGCTCATATATAACTTACTATAATGGTTAACTATTGATCATGATTAAATGCTTGCATTGTTTCCAGAGAGATCTAAAAAGAGCAGGAAACAACAGTCTTCAAACAAAGTAACACTGGCCATCTTGCATCTTTGGGTAACCAAAAAAATCAGAACATTTCTATAATTCACCTCTAAAGATAAATAATTACACCAAAATACACATATTTGAGAAATAAAAGCTAAATTTAGAACATTCTAATACTAATTACACTTTTCAATGTACAACTACAGTCTGATGAGGTGGGGGGTTAGGGGTGGAGGTAATATTTCACATTATGTATGACCTAAATTTTATTGGTTTTTCTAGCGTCGTGTGAAGATCAACAGACTTCAAGATTACATATATTTTCTATATAAAAATATTTCAGAAACTTTCAATGTGTTAGGACTTTTTTTTTGTGACAGTGAATACAATTAGATTCCACATAAGTGCAAAATACAAAACTAGCAACACATCAAACTTTCACACAAGTGAGCGATAGTTATAATTCAGTAGACAGAAACTTTACTAACAAATTTATTAAGAAATATATAATTATTATACTTCTATGTATATTTGAATAGTTAAGCTCAAATTTATTTTACATTTCTTGAAATATCTATGTGTGAAATAAATCGGTAGATATTTCAAATTACTTTTAACCCATTCTTAGTCCTTTATAGATCAAAATAACAATTACTGTATACCTAAAGAGACATTACCATCAATAAAAATGCTTGAGGAACTAAACATTTTGATAATTATTAGTTTTTATACACTATCAAACATTAAAGATCTTATATTAACAACGGGCCTTTCACTAGGCCACTGTAAAGTCTTTTAATGGATCATTTTTCTACAGATACGGAGTAAATTGTTTCTCAAGCCAAAATATTTAATTATACGCAAGTAATTTTTATTTGACCAATAAAACGTGAATTTCTATACCCTTCTGTAAAATTCCCATTACTTCATATAATAACAGATTTTACCATACGTATTCTGATAATAAAGTCTGGATCACCCCCCCCCCTCCCCATAAACAATATTACAAAATTATTATATTTTCACAGATCTCTATTGAATAACTATGGTAGTATCATGACTACAGTACTGAATATTTTGCACCAAAGTTTTTTGTTAAAATTAGGTTTTCCTTCAACTTTATAGGTTTTTTATTTTTGGCCCATTTTGAGTAAAAATAAGGTTATATAGGTCTTAAAGGTGTCACTTGGAAGGTTGCGATAAGAAAAAACTTTCGAATATAAATTAAATGATGTATTTGAACAAACATTCATAGTATGATTAATAGGAATAACAAATAAAATATTAGAAAGCCATGACTTATTGATAGTTCTAGCCAACTATTTATATCTTCAACCTTCACGAATGTTCATTAAAAATGAAAGTTTATTAAAGACAAAGAGTTGAGCTTTGATAATTTGTCTGAAGTTTTTTGATAATAACAACAATTTCTAACATCGAGTCTGTAGCACCTTAAATCAGAAAAAAACTATTTCAAATATAATTGCACAAAATACCAGTAACTCTTTATATATCAATATTTCTATCCACTTTTTTTTTTTAGAAGTAGCCACATTATTAACAAACATATATAAAGTACCAAAACAGTTGTTTGGGGGATAATATTAATAGATCAATTAGTATCATCAAAGGGTCTTTTGCCAGTTAAACTGTACAAGTATTAATTGTCGATAACACTTTCACCAGATCAGGTGGTATTTATTTCCTCTTTTCATTTATTAGATATACTATAATTGTTATAAGATTTTATACAATGTAAAAGTAGAGTAAGACTTTGTTTTATATCACTGCATAATTTTAAGTTTGTTTTTCAAGCTCATCTCTTTCCTATTGCCAGATAAAGTTCAACCAGAAGAAAACTAACCCAGGCTATTCAATTATCAAAATACAAACCACTATTAAACAGTATAAAGCATTCAAAGATAACGTGAAATGTTACTCTTCCCTAACTTCATACAGTTAAGAGCCTTCCAGAGCAAACAGGGCACGGGTGGAATGTGTCAAGGACGGGTTTTTCTATAAGGTTTGAGCTCTCTATTTCTGTAAATAGGTCCAAGATCTTCTTTGCTGTCTGATCATCATTATCTTTAGTATCACTAACATTCGCATGAAGGTCAGTCAAAACTGTAACAGAAAAAAAAAGTAAACGTAAAAACTGCCACAAACATAAAGGACTTTTACTAATGAAGACAAGCAAGAACTTGTAGTCAGTAAGAGTAAAGTCATACATTCCACTCCAGTCCAATGTTTCTTGCCTTTAAAAACTTCTCATCTCAATACATAATGCAATAATCATTAACATAAATGAAATTTAACAATAGCAATTACCAAACTTAGGTTTGTATACTAAGTTGTAACATTTGTATAATTCCTTGTAATTATTACAAACTACTAGTGATATTGTTGAACTTCTAAAACAGAGCCTAATTCCATAATTTTTATACATTTGCACTTGTATGATTGAAAAAATATCCTAAAAAATCACCATTTTCTATAAAGTATTTTTGTATCATATTAAAAGAAAAGAAATTCATTAATATTTCAGAAGCTAACATGCTTAATATACTACCACTACATTTAGCCGCCATATTTTCAGTAATAATTTCATAAGTTACATAAATGAATTTATTTCTTTAAGATCAACGTGTGAGAATTTTACCTTCAGTATTGTTTCCATTCACTTTCAGAACCATCTCACCTGGGTGGTTACTGTTTGGTGGCACTTCTACAGAGATGTCATGTAGCCGTTTCCTTTCCTCTAGGAGTCGCAGGACCAGGTTCTGCAGTTCACTCAGTCGAGCCTATAATGAAAGAAAAAAACAACAACTAGTAAATTAAATATTTTCTTCTACATAAATCCAAATAAACATTAAGATTCAAACATGCAGTAGCTCCACTGTATTACTGATTAAATTTACAGGTACAGTAAAGTTTGTTAAATATCATATACACTGAACACGGCATTTCCACTTTGAGATAATACAATCTAAGGAAACAATATAAATCATAGTGTTCAAAATAAAGTTACTTCCATGTTAAATTAATTTAAACTTCTTCATAAGTTTCATTAACATTCATGGAAGATTGTTTAAAAAAAGTTTTTAAACATCATTAATGATTCGTTGTGGATCCCATGATGTACCTCGCAGATGAAAGGATATAACTTGTTACACTATTGCAAATTAAAATGTTATTTATACAATGCTCACCTTCATCTCTTCTCGGTCTCTTGCCAGTTGTGCAATGTACTCATCTTTTTCACTTGCACGTTTCCTCATGATTCCTCGTTGCACTTGATACAAAGTTATGTAGTCAGCTAGTTAGAAAATGAAATGCATATTTTTCTTCTTAGAATCCTGGTATAAAAACCTGTCAATTCTTAAAGCTATATATTTTATTCCTGTTTATTGTTACTTGTATGATATTTGTATAAATATTTTCAATTTAGTTATAATTATCTTTTTTTAATGCCATACAATTACAATATATTAATTATAAAAAAAAACAATTCAACATCTAAATAAATGTGAACTTTATAAATAACATTACAACCAAATAACTAGAAATGTGAATTGAATTATTGATTAGTATATTCAAATCTCTTGTAATACTCAGTTTTTCTCTGTCCTGAAAATGCATGCACACTTTATTTCAATGGATTGTAAACATACTTCAGTAGACATAAAAAATGTTTAAAAAAGTCTAATGTTAGGTCATAGAACTAACATTGTAAATTATCTGCTTATAGTATTAAGTACAGTACAGTTTAGTCCTAACTAAAGTAAAGCAAAAATGTACACAAATTACAGTGTTAATCTCTCCATTTATTGAATGTAGGCTGTACACAATAAAGGCTTAACTGATGTTAGGCCTAAGAAAAGTGGACTTAGATTTTGGTGTCTGCAGTAAGAATTATTTTGTAGTATTCTAGAAATCTTGTATTTAAAAAAAGTTGCTAAAAAGATACTGATATAACCACAAATATTTTGTAGGTCTCTACTAGTCTTTATAGGAAAAACCTGTCAACACATAGTGTAAATTTGTGAATATTATTGCCACATTAGCATTAACAAACCTATTGTATCCGTTTCTCCTTGTAGCTGCGTAACCAAATGTTCTAACTGTTGCTTTTGGTCAGATAGTTCAGCAATTTGGTCCATTGTTTTCGTGAATTTCTCCTAAAAGAAATTATTGTCGTATCCAAAAAATTAAAATTTGATGTTCAAACCAGGAATAAAGCATTTAATTTACTGGAAAATAATCAAAATTAAGGTTAATTAACAAAAAAATTATCTTTCTTTGAAACTGAGTCAAAAATAAAAAAATAACTTAAAAATTAATAATAAACAGTTAGGTTATGAAGTTTGAAGAGAGCTTGAATACGTAATAAAGAAAAACTATTACAAGTTTAGCATAGTAACGAATGTATGTTTTGACATTATGAGGTACCTTGTTGAAACATTGTATATTTGTTACTATGCTAAACTTGTAGCAGTTTTCTTCATTACCTGTTCAAGCCATTTTTAAACTTCATTGTTTCAAAGTTAGTTCTTTGTCATCAAAAATGTTACGTTAATCAATAAGAAAATAACTTTCCTTTCGAACTGAGCCGAGAAAAAAATGGAAGATTAATCTTTTATACTTTTTGTTTACATTTAGTGATTAACCTTTACTATCCTTAAAAGTTGAGGTCAGAAGAGAAAACCGACATCTTATGTCTTTAAGTTGAAAACAATTACTTTATTACAATAGGTCAAAACTATGTCTAACTACTCGTACACCAGGCAGATGGTCTGCTTTAACTGTCATTAATCTATTTTTTTATAAGAATGAGACAGTGAACCTTCCATAAGCTAGTCTTGTTTGGGAACAGGAAATGTGCCCAAGTCAAACAGGTGGCCAATTTTGTAAGTAACAGTAACCATGAAAATGAAGAACGAGATGTTGCAAAATATGACATAGTAAAACAAAAAAAATAATAATAAAAAATTCTTAAATTAATTAAAACAAAAACTGTAAAAATCATATGCACTATTCTTTATTTTGGTGTAGACTATAATGACTCATACATTCATTATGTCAGAAAAACACACAGGTTCAAGAAGTCTCGATAGAAAACGATAAAAACCCTGTAACCAGATAACTTTCGAAAGGTTCACCTTTCGAAAGTGCTTGGTTATAGGGGTTTTATCATTTTGTATTATGACTCATACATTGTTAGGTTGTACATTTTTCAGGCATTGTTTCGACAAGTCAGTATTCTTTACATACTGGGTGAGAGTATTGTGTTTTTGCTCTGGCTGCTAGTTTACAAACTTAAAACTTGATCTTTAGCCATCTTATGAAAGTTGTTTTTACAAAAATAATAGGCATTATGGGCTGGAAGAGGCCAAGTGGTTAATATATCAGACTTTGAGGGTCTATGGTTCACATACAATTGCCATTACATTGTTGCTAATTTTCTGTTAGATTTATGCTAACCCTAGTTTGCCTGTTCTACCTTAACAGTTACAGCAAGTTCTCTCAAAATAAATCCCTTAAAATTCCAGTCACCAATTTTAACTGGACATTTTTCAAAGTCCCAATGAAAAATATCTTCATTACCTTAAGTAAGGTGCACTACGCTTTAAAACTGGTGGGAAGCCAACACTTACCAATAACTCTAATTGAATAATGTGATTTGACAATCGCTCTTAGGCACAGCCCTTATGTAAAGATCAAAATATTATTTTTCTAACTACGGTCATAAAATCAATGCAGCATTTGTGAATGTCTAAAACCTGGCTTTACAACACACAGTAGATCTTATAGCACAGAAAGAGTTAAGAAGGTTAAAGAAAATTCCAGTATAAAAATAATACACATTAAAAATACAGACTGTCTCATTAGTTAATTTTGTTTAGTATAGGTTCAACTTCAATTGACAGGTTAGCCTACAATTCATACCTCAAGTTGTTTCATGGAATTCTTCAGTGATTCATGGTCTTCTTTAAGAACTACATTCTTTTCTATAACAGACAAACAAACAATAAAACTTTACAATCTCCTTTTAACAAATAATCTTTCCGAACAGTTATTATGGTTGAAATACTAATTCATAATAAAGCTTTCTATAACTCAAATTATTATTTTACCATGATTGATAAAAAACTTTATATTTTTTTTTTTAAACAGAAAACCAATAATAGGTAAAGTAACATAAATACAATTACTAACCTGTGACAAGACCAACAAACTATTAAGAAAACATACAAAACAATAATTTTTGTAGAAATAAAATAAATAAAAAGGCAACAATCCACTTTAGTAGCTCTTGGAAATCTCTTTGTTATGTGGTCCAATTACTAAATTTGGTTACAATTTGTAGTAAGTACTGTCAAATAACATATTCTGGCTCTTTAAATGATTATTGTAACAAAAAATGTTTACAATGATTGAATTGTTAGTGGCTTCAGTCCCACTATTGAAACCATAGTGACAAGAAAAACTTCTCTAGAATCCAAAACAAAACTATTCTGAGTTGTGTACAACATTATTACAATAATAATTGATAAATTTAGTACTAAAAAAAGCAAAAGTTTATATTAAATTACAAAATGGAATTACGCATACATAAATATGAACACTGTACAAGATACAATAAATGGTCAGGAATTTCATTTTTGTTCATTACCCAAAATCAATACTATACACATGCAGTTAGACCTTGTTCAGTGCTGCATTGAAGACAAAACTCATACTTAAAAACTTTTCATGACTAACTCAAAATTTAAGAAATCCCTAAAAACCCCAGGACTACTTTTAAGGAACCCTCTTTACCCTCTACCCCAAAAATATGAACAATAAATGGGGGGAAAAAAAGATCTGATAGTGGTGAAACAAATTAGATTGAACTACAGTATGAGTGTTATTAAATTTCAGCTTAAAAACAGTCTATTCTTCAGTGAATCGTGATGAAATCAATGACACATGAAAACCCAAGTGTATGAATCAGGCTTGTGTGTTAAATTTCTGCTTAAAAACAGTCTATTCTTCAGTGAATCATGATGAAATCAATGACACATGAAAACCCAAGTGTATGAATCAGGCTTGTGTGTTAAATTTCTGCTTAAAAACAGTCTATTCTTCAGTGAATCATGATGAAATCAATGACACATGAAAACCCAAGTGTATGAATCAGGCTTGTGTGTTAAAAGTTATAACTGTTACCCAATGTCAACAACTTACAAAGACTTCAATGCTCAAATACTTAAAATTTAAATTACTCAAACTATACAAGTTAAATAAATGGACCAAAAATTAAAGGGTGTTTATATTAAAAATTGAATAAACCATTACCTTTAACAAAGAAGCATAGTTATACTGTACTTTAACTGTGTCCCTTACAATAAAAACCACTACTATATTTCATGTATTTTATCAATTCCTATTATAAACATTTTGTTCTGCATACAGCAAAGACTTTGAAGTTCCCATACTGTAATACTTAATCTGTCTTCCGATCCCACGTGCAAAGGATTCCCAGGAACTACTTTCATTATTCTCAGGAATATTTTGTACGGTTTTACTTTATAACCATTTGATAGAGTGTAAAAAAAAAAAGTATAATTTGTTGAATAACCGAGTTTTTCTTTGTGTGTGTGTGTTATACTGGAATTACAAAGTTCCTTTCAAGTGTCCAAACATTTCATTTTTATGCATAACTTGTGCAAAAGTTTGCATCAAATAAATGCTGGTATACCAATTTTTTGAAGAAAAATATTCTCCATTTTGACTAAAAGTGTCACCGTTTCTTCACTAATACAAAAGAAAATTTATAGGTCATCAAACAACTTTTATGCTAATATACATGAAGGGTTTCATTAGCATAGCATCCTGGATTGTGGATTTTACAGTCATGTAACAACATAATTAATTAATTATGAACATAACAATAACACTCTTTTGCAAGTTTTTCAATTATTTCCATATTTTTTGTATATTAGTTATATGATAGAAAAAAAAACAGAGACCACATGTAATCCAATTTAATTTTCATGTGTCACATTAACGATGAAATATATTGCAGAGTATGAAAAATAAATAATGTTAACAATATATGAATGTTTATCCACCAGTTCACTTTTTTTTATTCATTTAAGAGTATCTATATGAAAGGGAACAAACTATCCTAGCATAAACCAGTAACTGAAACGTTTGTGATACACTTGTAAAAGTTAAGACAAATTATTCCATTTCTCGGCTGTTTGCAACCATCAAAAATATTTCAGAATTCTAATTTGATTTTCATTTACTATTTGACTAACTGTTAGTTTAACATCCATACCATTGCTGTTCAAGTCTGTCATCTGAGACTTCAGATCATCTCGTTGGCTCTGCTGATCTTTCATTTCATGCAGGAGGTAGTCTCTTTCCATCTCTAGCTGTCTGACAGATGCCGACAGAGAAGCAACCTGACAAAAGAGTAAGTAGAAATTGTAAGATCTCGACAGCATGTTACTTCCTTATTATAGAACTATACACTAAGAATAAATATCGTTACATGTTTAACACAGTTTCAGATGCTCTGCAAATTCTTGATAAATTTATAATAATAATATTCAAAATTGGAACATGTTTGATTTTTTGCTCATCACAATAAAAGTTTAAAACCAGAAGAAAAACAAATCATAAAATTATGAAATATCTTTGTCAACTAAAATCACAAAAGTGTGTCTTCTAAACAACAAAGAATCGGCAAATTAAAGTTTGACGTTTACTGTCTACTTCCTTCCAGAAAATCTAATTAAGCCTGTAAAGTTTCTCCGAGTGCATGCTTGGATAAGTGATAAAAGCTGCATCTAGTTTTAGTTGAGACTTATTCCAAGTAGATTATTCAAGCTTTGGAAATTACTTGTCATACTGTGTTTACAGCAAAGCAGAAGGCCTACAAGTACACAGGAAGATGTAATGTCTTAAAAATGTATGAAATTTGGTGTCCAAAAGAAAAACTGACGGGGTTAAATATGGGTGCAATTAATACTTTTAAATCTTATTTTTGGATTACTTTTTCTCACCAAAAAGTGAATTTAAAAGACGAAAAAATGATGTAGAGGCCTAATCTATTCTTTGGTTCACTAGTTCTACTGAATTCACAGCTCACCAGTCCTGCTTGGAAGAGTGAAGCAAATAAAGTAGGCCTCATATAGCAGTGGAACATATATAAACCAAACTCTTCAATATTCTTTCTTAAAGGATATTACAAACTCTTATTCTTCTCTGTCACAAAAAACACACTAAAATTTGACTTTATCACTAACTACATGTAGTAAGAATTTTGAGAGAAAAAAATAAAGAATTTTATTCAATATAAGTAACAAGAGAGTTTCTTCACCTGGTGGTAAAACCAGACATTAAAAGGTTGTCAAAATTAACAATTGCTTCACTGGCAGTCTCATTAACTATTCTTTTTTAACTAGTAAGTTTAAAAACACTTGTATAACATACTGAGGTGACTATCAATCCATACCTTGGTTTTCTGTTTATGAAGTTAAGGTATCAGATATCCACATTCTTTATAGTTACTTTAACTGTACGTTCAAAATTTAAATACTATCTTTCCTCAAATACATTAACATTTCTTGGACTTCACTTACCAGGTCGTTCTTTCTGTCAGTCTCTTTGTCAACAGAAGTTTCATTACCAGATTTAATAACGTCTTCAGCCTGACGAGCCAAGGCCATTCGAAGTTCGGTATTCAAAATTTAAATACTATCTTTCCTCAAATACATTAACATTTCTTGGACTTCACTTACCAGGTCGTTCTTTCTGTCAGTCTCTTTGTCAACAGAAGTTTCATTACCAGATTTAATAACGTCTTCAGCCTGACGAGCCAAGGCCATTCGAAGTTCGGTGTTCTGGGTCAACAAGGTTTCAATCCTCTCCTTGGAAACAGAAAAGTTTTTTGTACTTTCTCATAACATTAATATGAGATCAAGAAGGGAATAAACAAACAACACAGCATTAAAAAATGTATTTCTAAAAATTTTTACCACAGTGCTAGGTTGGTGACATTATTTTTAGATCTACTCACTTTAGCTTTTACTAAGTCTTCTTGCAGGACTTCAGTCAAGTGTCCCTGGGCTTCGTAATGTCTCATCCTGTCAACAATCTGATGATGCTGAAAAGTTTCTTTATTCGCATTTTGCTCCAGAATTTTCAGTTGTTTTTCCTTGCGAGAAAGCTAAAAAAACCAACAACATACAGATGAATAATGACAGGTAATACACCAATAACAAATATCTACAATATCCACAATATATTTCATTTAACCCCCCATTTGTTAAATAAAAATTGTTGAAATGTAAAAAAAGATGTGATGTTATTGTATCACCTTCTTCCTCAAAACGTGAAAAATTTAGACCAAGCAGGACTTGAATCACGACTCTGCTTGCCAAGATGATGTTTAATCCAACTAATCTGATCTATTAACTGTCAGAACTCTCAGTTCCCACTTGCTTGGTTGGAAAGGAAAGATTTTCACAAGTCTACTGATCTCATACCAATCAGTTTTTAAAACCCTGAACCACCCATTAATTGCTAATTTGATCTTGAATATCAAATTATGTTCTGATTTATAGTACTCAAAGGTTTTTCCTATGTTTGTGTTTAAGCTCAAGCCCATACAAAGGGATATCTGCACTGTGCCCATTTTTGGTATACCCCAATTTATAGCGTATAACCTCGTAAGTTTACCATTGAGCCTCCCGAGAGCTGAACACT